GACCTCTGCTTGGCTCTCTCTCTCAGAGGCCACCAACGGGACCGTGCCGCAGGGTCAGCGCCCGCCCCCGCGGATTAAAAACTTCCAGATCAACAACCAGATAGTGAAGCTGAAGTACTGCTACACGTGTAAGATCTTCCGTCCGCCCCGTGCCTCTCACTGCAGCATCTGCGACAACTGCGTGGGTGAGTAGAAGAGGCCGTGCCCGCTCCTGCGCCTGGGCGTTAGCTGAGGGCCTGTGGAAGAGAACGGGTGAAGATCTGCACCCGGTCTCGCTCCGCACTGGGTCTCGCGCTGCGCCGGCTGAGCGAGTCCAGCGTGATGGTGAGACGGGGACAGTCTGCCCCTTCTGAAGCTCAAGGAGCTGGAGGTTTGCTCAGAACCTGGAGCCGGATGGTTCATCCTTGCCAGTACTTCTTTGGCAGTGGCTGGTCTGACACAAGTCCAACTTGTCCGTGTAAACGTGCAGTCCATTTCTGAGCTTCGCTGGACTGCTGGCCTTGCTGGGCTGGAGGGTTCCCGTGGAGAGCTGTGTCTTGCCTGAAAGCAGCTCCTTGCGTCGGTACGGAGATTCTGCCGTTACGCTGAGTGCCGCTGGGTTTTGTTCCCCTTGCTGCCTAGCAGAAGCTCTCTGAGCCCTTCTGCGTGTCAGAATTGGCTTGTGCTCAGCATCCCTTCTCGAGGAAGAAGTCCCATTCGGTTGGATCCCTCTCCTCCTCTGCAGGTTCCCAGCCCTTGGAGTGTTTGTGCAGTTCCTTGAACCCTCTGCTAGTTATTGTTGTAGGAGTAAAGCGGCACGTGGGTTAGATGTGAGCTTCTGAACCCCCAGGCCTTCATCTAACCCCTGTGCTGCTTTGGTAAAAGCTGTTAGAGCTCAGGTCTCTGAGAGAGAAGACGTGCGTGGGGCCAAGCTCTTAAACTTGGTCTTGATGTGCGAAATGACCCAATAGTAAAATGATTTTGTGCGTTCTTACCTGGCCTCCCCTTCCGGAAGGGGGCTGTGATACGGGGCCTGGAATTAGCAGAGGGTTGGACTTGATGGCCCAGGGAGTCCTTCAGCCCTGGAAATGTTTGAGTTCGGGGCGCAGGAGTGAGCATCTGCGGATGGGCAGGACCGGGCTAGGGCAGGACTGATCTCCATCTTCACTTTCACAGAGCGCTTCGACCATCACTGTCCCTGGGTGGGCAACTGCGTGGGGAAGAGGAACTACCGCTATTTCTACCTCTTCATCCTCTCGCTCTCACTCCTCACCATCTACATCTTCACCTTCAACATAGTCTACGTAGCACTGAGTGAGTCTGGCTGCGGAGGCTGAGGGCGAGGGGGGGTCGCAGATGGTGTTGTGAACCTGGAGGTGATGGAGAGGGAAAGGGAACTGGCCTCGGGGCGGTGTTGCGGAGAAGAAATCTCTCTCTTTTTGTATTGCCAGAATCTCTGAAGATTGGGTTTCTGAACACGTTGAAGGAAACCCCGGGGACATATCCTTCCTCAGTGCGGAGGGGTTGGCGGCTCCAAAGCTGGGGGTTGGTTAGTCCCTCCTCTGCGGTACGGAGGGACTGGAGCCTGGATGCCCAGACTTCTCTGAGGAGTCTTTCAGGGCGTTTTCCTCCATGATTACAAGGCAGTTCTGTGGCTTTTGGGAGGAGGGTGAAACAGAAAACTCTGTCTAGGAGAAGAGGAGAAGTTAGGGCGGCGTGTCTGGGGTGGTGACACGGCGCGGCTGGGGCTGTGTCCGGGCTGTTCCCAGTCCTTAACTGTTCCCACTGTACTGGAGGTGCTCATCTGTTTCTTCACCCTGTGGTCGGTGGTGGGGTTAACTGGGTTCCACACCTTCCTGGTGGCACTGAATCAGACAACCAACGAAGACGTAAGTAGAGCCCTTGCGTTCCCCTGTGCCGTCTCCATTTCTCAGCGCTTCCTGGGTGTGTGGCAGCTGCGCCCGCCTCGCTGACGTGCCCTGCGGGCTGGGGGCAGGTGGCAGTGGAGCAGGCCTGAGCCTGTGCCCTCACCGTTGCAGATTAAGGGGTCCC